GAGCCTTCTGTTGTCTGCGGGAATCTTTCCTGTTTCAGTTCTGTAAGCCGAACGGCTGTGGCCACTATCGCAAGCCTTGGCCCTGCACCTCTGCGAGGCATTGATCTGTACGTAACTACTGCAAGTTTACAACCCTGCAACGGTCATTAAAATTGAGAGTTTAGGGGTTTAGGGTTTAAGGCTTAATTGTTGTCTCCAGATTGCCATGATCATATCGTGGGTGCAGTGGAAGCAAGCTCGTTCGTATGTGTCGTGCGGCGGTTCATGTCCTGCACCGCCTCGACTTCAGAGAGGACAGCCCAGCGTTGATGATAGCAAGCACGGTGATGACAATCTGCATAGCCGCTCGACTGCCACTGATCGCATCGGGGACGACTGCAGTGATACGGATGATCGAGGCCCCCTCACATTCGGAAACCCCTGGACCACTGGAAGGTGGTCCTCCAAGGAGTTGAAGGGTGTGAATATCTAAATTTAAACTTCGACTCTTTGAGGGTTCGGAAACTTAGGAGACTCCCAATCTGATGTAAGCCTCCCAGAAACGAGACTCTAATAGCACACATCAGACCTTGGCAGCAAAAACGCCATAAGCCCGAAACCTCAGCCCTAAACCTCATAATTTCGTTGCGAGTAGCAAGTTTGACTTGTTTACATCAGTGCAGCGCCTGCCGTATGTAGTGGAGCTACTGGGGACTATGTGGAGCCTTGCCTGTGTGAGCGGTGGAAAACCCACTGAAGGTCTTGAGGCCCCTCCCTTCTGTTGATGATCTAAATCCTGCAATACCCTAAGGACCCTAAACTATGGGAATTATGGTATATTCCTTATTATGGGTCATGCAGGATTTATATCATCAACCGTTTCACCCCTATGTCCACGTTTGCATCATGGGCAGTCAGGTTGTCGTCATCCTTTGCCTGGCCGCGGCAGGCGTGGTTAAGCACTCCGGCTGAGAAAGGGTTGTAGGGTTTAGGGTAAGGTTTGCGGCACGTGGTTTAGGTGTGTGCTTTGGGGTTTCGGTATTGGGTTGATCAGGGTTCAAGAATTTAGCGAATTTAGTGGAGACAGGACACATGTCACCTTTTGCTTCTGCAGAATGCCACCTTCTATATAAATCAACCCATCTCATCCCTCGCCTGCCAAGCCTCTCGAAACCCCGACACTTGTGCCCTTGCCTTGCATGGGCTCTCACGCGAAGCCCGATGTGAAGCTTGAGGCCTCGTGAGTTTCCCATCCGACCCAACTAACCTCGCCTGCAGTGTCCCAGGTGAGAGTCAAAAACCCAAATATCTGCTCTCTCTCGCAAACGCCGTGTTGCCTCGCTTGGCCCGCCTAGAAAGACCGAACCCGCAGCGTCATGCTCTAGACCTCTAGGTCTCCGACTCTTCCTTGCTGGGGTCTGGCTAAGGCACTTAGCGTCGGCTCACCGCAAGGCATACCGTGCCCCGGCTGCTTCGTGGTTCGGGTTTGGGATTCCGCTATGGGCTTCCGGCGTTCTGGGGTGTGTGGGGGTACAGTGCCTGAGATCTGCCCTGAACTCTAGATAGGCCCTAGCACCCTTACTGATGACGCTGCTCAAAATTATCATTCTGATGGCGATGGTGATGAGAATCATGATTGATATCGTCATTGTCTCACTATAGTTATCCTATCATCCTCACTTTCAGTGTCATTATCGGTATTCTGCTCGCCTGGTTGCCGTAGTATTAAGGGTATAGTTGTTCGCACATGCGGACAGCATTTACAAGCTATGTTTTAAATTGAGCATGGTTATTTTATGTGATGAGGTTGGCTTTATGTTTGGGTTGTTGAGTGTATACAGAGCTCCTTGGGAAGATTATGGTAGTGAGTGCCAGTGGACTGTTGGATGCTATTCACGTGGCAGGACTGCTTCGCATCGGTTTAACGACTCTCATTGCTAGGGATTCGGCAATCGCCGAGGACTGTCGTTCAGTTAATGGCCTCGCGTGGCAACCCAGATCTCACATTCGTAAGGTATATAGCGAGCCATATATCGTGTTATCATCGCAGACTGCCTGGCGACAGGCAAAAAACCAAAATCCTGGCGGCAGTTGTCTGGCATCTAGACACGGAGGCTTCGCGTTTCGAACCAAAGATCCCAAGCATGTTGTTCGCTTGAAATCCGGACTCGCCAACAGCCCACAGCACAGATAGCCAAACTAATAGCCTACAGCCCGTCAAGCGGGCTCAAACATGCCAACAGCGGCTCTCGTCCGAGGATTTTTCCTCTGCCATCACAAGTTGGCAGCCGGAAGTTTAGCTCGCTTGCTGAAGCGCCCTGGTTTGAGCTCCAAGGGTTTTAAGCCCAACGGGTTTAAGGTCACAGGCTGGTCTTGGGACTGGGCTTCAGGGGTTTAGGGCTTTAGGATTTCGAGTGTAGGGTTTTGCAGGATTTGTAATCAGTGTGAGCGTCGAAACCCTAAACCCATAACCCATGCGACAAGATCCTTATCCTGAACCCCAGGATACCTTTCCAGACTCCCCAGACCTTCCAAAACCCTCTTAATTAAGGAATATGCCTGAAATTATAATAGGATCCCAAATATGAATTACGGTATATTCCTTAATTAAGGGAGCCTTTCCCTAAAATCCCAGGATACACATCCAGAAGCGGGGGCCGAACCTCTCCACTTTCGTCGATACCGATGACCTGACGGATCTTGCAGACCTGTTCGGCTTGGAACTCCGGTGAGAATTGGAGGTGACCCTAAACCTGAAACCTTAAACCCTAAACCCTGAGAATTCGAGGTACAGTAAACCCCATAAAGTTGGAAACCGGATTAAGGCCAAATAGTGTTACTCTTGAGGATTGAGGCTATGGGGTTTCCAACTTTGGGCTTCGACTGAGGTCTTGGCGCTGGCTAAACATTGAAACCACCCCAAACCCCTGAACCCTAGACCCCTGAACACCTTTTTTGACATCAGCCGACACAGCAGCAAGAACCCCCCACCTTGTCCGAGCGTGAGCGGCGAAATCCATGAACCCCAAATTGATAGCGGTGATCAAGAGCTGGCTGACGGAACCGGCCACTCTCACCTTCATAGTCTATGGGTATCACCGCCAGCAGCTGCGACAGCATCAGCAATATTAGCTTCTGACCTTGTCAAAAGCAAGTTCAACCACAGTCGGCTATCAGCATCACCACCATGACCGTTGGAACTTGCGATTTCGACCTATGTTCTCTGCATTCAGACGTGACGATCAGTACTTAGATCGTTGTTGCCAAAGAGTGCGAACATTAGGACGAGTCAAATGTTGCAAGTTTCATCAGCAGCGGCTGTGTCCAGTCTTGACAAATGCATCACGTGCCACGGATGAATTCCAGACCGTGAATGGCATGTTTCGTGCGACCTTCGTGTTTTATATGCTAAGGTCGCCCAGCAGGTTGAAACCCTGGTCGTGGCTTGGCTGTAATTAGTACAGGTATCGACAGTATCCCTCGTAGGTGCTGTTGCTTTTCTTGCTGCTGCCGAGCTGCTGCTTTGGTCCGTCGTGTTGGCCGTCCTCACGGTTTTGCGTTCAACTCTGCCGTGCTGTTGCTGCTGCTGCTGCTGCTGTTGTTGTTGCCGCTGCTGTTGCTGCAGCTGGTAGTTTTTTTGTGCTACCACTGTAGTGTTTGTTTTTGTTGTTTCAGTTGTCGCTCCTGTTGTGCTCTTGATGTTATCGGTTTGTTGACTTATTGCTTGTTGCTACAGGCTACCGTTCTTGTTATCTTGCAGTTCTTTGTACATATGCTTGTGTCCATCAGCCGGGGTCTGTACTTTTGTTGCGATCCCGTTGCTTGTTCGACATGTTCTTCTATCGGCCACGGGCTACCGACCGGTATCGACAGGACGTGGGCTGCAAACTAAATTAGAATCCTCTAAAAACCCGGCTTAGTATCGAAGCATTCAGGTTACAAGCATGTTTTCGACCTTGAAGTGTCAAGCGGAGCTCAATCTCTGTGCCGATACCCGCAGATAGGTCTGAGAAGTTTGAAGACTCTCAATGCATGCCTTAGTAGCTGAGTGGGTAGCCTTTAACCTTTTGGGATTCACATAATCCTACCATAATTGAAAAGGTTAACCTTTTTGGGGGCTAAGGTATTTAGCCACTAAGATGATGTTTCGGGACACTTCTTCGCATCTTGCATCCGGAGCTTTCTCTACGGGAGGGTGATGCGGCAGGTGCAAAATTTGCCAGATCAGGCTTCAGAGTGCTTCGAAACACAGTTTCGGCTTTGAGCACTGATATAACGCCCCCCCCCCCCCCCCCCCACCGACGTGTTTCAGGTTCTAGCCAGCTCTGAGATCCTCCACAGGAAGTGGTGCGTGGGTGACTCGGACCGAAGCCTAAGCACTTAATTGGCTGGTTCCAAGTTTACTGGGTTGTCCTTTGGGATTTCCCGTACTAAGTACTGGAGAACCATAATGGTACTTAATTTCAAAGGGCTTCAAGGACAACTCAGATAGGGTTAAGGGCTAGGTCTAGGTGAGTCCAGTAGCAAGAAGGCTGGGAGCAAAATATGGTCTGGCGCGTTGCCTGCCTTGTGATGCACAGCCATCGATAAGGCCGGTAACTTGGAGGCACTTTACAGAGACCTCGTTCCAAAAATGGCTGGGAGAAGGGATGGCTTGCTGCGAGCAGTCTGTGGTCAGTTCATTGCTGGGGTTTCTGTGAAGTCAACATCTGTAATGATGCAGCTGATCAGCGAGTCTGAATTCGAAAAACGATGCGGAAATGGAGCAGCAAAAATCGCACATGTCTGACAACACGACTACGGTTGTGTTGTGTCACTGATGCCAATCGACCTGGGGCAGTGGGGGCCACTCTCTCTTGTCTCGCAACCCGCAGCCCTGAACCGCAGACGCTCAAAGTAGGGGCCGAAGAAAGTTTCCATTATTTATCTAAGGGTGCCCTAATGTAACTTTCTAGTATACTGCACCCGAAAACCCTATTCTAATTTTTAAGGCTCCTATTTTAGTGAGCTGAGCAGGTGAGATGGTCACGGCTTATGTGCAGAAGCGTCAGACGGTCCTCGTGCTCCTGCCAGACTTCGAGAAGAGCCTCGGACTTTTTTTTTTTTTTGTGAGGGGGGGGGCGGGTTCTTGTTCAGAAGTTCAGTTTAAGTTGCCATAATAAAAAGCCATGTTAGTTGCTGTAGATCTCCATTATGGTAACTTAAAGTAAGCTCCGCAACAAGAACCCAGTTTTCAGTGGAGAACGGCTGAGGGTTTAGATTCACGAGGCGCGCAGTGACTTTGCAAAGTGCTGCCCGCACATAGTGGTGCTATGTTCACGTGCCTCTGTGCTCTGGCCTAGACGTAAGTTACACCGAACTACGCCGTTTGTTCTTAAACCCTAAAGCCTAGTTGTTCTGAATAAGTGGTTCCGGATTTCGAGTCTAGAGCTGATCCATCCTAAGGCTCAATAAAGTCTCAACAGGATCATATTCCGAGGCCGTCGCAGCCGTTCATCGACAACTATCTCTTCATCGTCCCTGAGATCAAGGATGTTCCAGATTTTTGCGTAAAAACACATCAACTTTTCGGTATATCCCTCTGTCTCTCTCGCTCTCTCGCTCGACCTTGTGGTACTTTGACACATACATGCATGCATACCATGTATACACACGCACACACACAGAGATGCACTTCAACGTGCTGCTAGCATGTTTCGCGTCACCACTTGAAATCTCAGTAACGAGCAGTTGTGACTTTCACCTTGGGAGGTTCTCCTAAAACTACATCACAAACCGACTGCCTAAACCCCAACCCCGACAACAACCCTCAGTCCTAACACACTTGATCCCAACCCCTACAACAACCCTCAGTCCTAACACAGTTGATTGTCCTAGTAGTAGAGTAGGTAACCTTTAACCTTTTTTGGGTAGTATAGTCCCTATATACTCCGTATATAACCAAAAAGGTTAACCTTTAGTTCCCCATGATACCCGACAAGTAGGTTGTCGACCCTGAGTTTGCCAGCTTGGCCAGCCAATAGTTGTCGCAACGTGGTTAGTGTGGCCTCTCTTGTGGTAAAACTTATGTGGGAGTTTCCGAAACTTAGGGGTACCTTATTTAGGGGTCCTTATAATAAGGATCCTATTACTTAGGGTACTGTATATTAGGGTCTTGGCCTCTATAGCAGGTTTGGCGCCAACTCGTAGAGGGCAGTTGGCGAAGCATGTTGGTCAATGTTGGTTGCCCCCGCATTAGTGCGCCACTCCCAGAGACCTGCAGATGTGCAGGAAGATAGCCTCGTCAGGAAGATAGCCTCGTCAGGATTGTCCGAGGGCAGTGAGTGCCAAAGCAGAACACATGCCGAAGGAATTTTCAAAGGATGAAACTCTACAGTAGAGCGCAACGGAGAGGACCTGGCCGGGTATAACATCAGCATCGAGGATGTGTCCCTTGCCATGCATAGGGCATAGGGGTGGAAGATGTAAAAGGCAGGCTACCCTGAGCCCCTATCAGGGCCCCTATCGACACCATAAGCCCTGAACCGGCTCAACTCGGCACGCTCTGGAAATGGTCCTTAAAAAACCTTGTACAAGTTCAACTAGATCCACTTTTCATGGTAGGATTGCTGCCCACGCTGGCACATCTCTTTTCGTAGGTTTTTCTGTGCCCATCTTTGCAATTTCTGATTTTTCTGGCCAGCGGACCTAAACCGTAAACCCTCAGTTTGCATACGAAAACCTAACGCCCGGCCCTACAACAACCATAGGTCTCCATAAGTTCGAGAAGGCACGCGACCCTTTAAACCCAAGGGGTATGAACCTTAAAAGTCCTGCAACATTCAGGGTTTAGGGTTTAGGGTTTAGGGTTTAAATTCAGAAGTCCCAGAGGCAGTCGACAGTCGTGGGCTTTGTTTATCAGCAATCAGATCCTTTGCAGAGCCCTCATAGGCAGGCTTCCCCAAACTGTTTTATGTATATAGCCCTGGTAGAACCCTTACCCAGCCCTAAAAGACCCAATGGCAGGCGACGTACACCTTATACAGGTCCTTCAACAGGTAGGCTTTTTACAGAAACTCTGTGCTTCAGGTATATCATCTCCTCTCTGCCCTTCAACCCTAGATCTCCTATAAACCCTATGCTTTATGGAACCCTCAACCCCGAAGCCTAAATCCGGAAGCCTGAGCCCTAGACCGTGAAAGACAAGCATCCAACCCTAACTAGGATGCCCAGTAGTGCCCTTATTCCCTTTTTTGTAGTCCTAGGTTCCTTATAAAGCTACCCAATACCAAAACGAGAGGCCTTTTTATTCTTAGGTTACCGGGTATCCTAGAATTAGAATAGGGTTCCTTTAAAGGGTTCCTGTTAAAGGGCCTATAAGGGTTATTATAAGGCCCGAACCCCAGAACTTCCCAAAAAAGGCAGGCGACCCTGGAATGGCTGCGGACGCTCGAGGCTTTGGAGTTGAACAGCTTGGCCCATCCGAAGGCCGGCGTTTCACAGGAGTTTTTTCAAATAGCTATCCTACCGTAATCGAAAAGGTTAACCGTTTTTGGGCTAAGGTATTCAGCCCCTCAGGGCTTGATGGGTCTAGGGTTTGATGGGTTTCTAGTGGCTCTATTCGTGCTTCGCTGGGGTGATAAGGCGCTCTGGAGCCTTTCCAATTTAGCATGTCCTTAGTAGGTGAGTGGATACACTTTACACTTTTGGGGATAATATTACCCACTATAAAACTGAAAGAACTCAGCAACTAGGTTTAGCATTAAAAGGAGCAAAGAGTTTAGCTCTTTACTGGCAGGCTACTTACTAAGCCGCCTGATCCTGTAGGCACTCCTCAGACGCTGCGCTGGCAAAGCGTTTGTCAGGGTTCAGAGGTTTCAGCATGAAGACTTTAGCCCTTGGGAGTTTTTGCGAGAATTAGGGACCCGGGACATTTCGCGCATGGCACATCACAACGCCCTGGAGCAAGACACATTGAGTCTCCAGATCTCAAGCGCCAGACAAAACTGCGTTTGGGAGAGGGGTGTGTGTGCGCGTGTGTGTCGTCGGTAACCTTCGGATTTTGTTCGACAAGGTTTGTTGCTTTGCCGTCGTTTCTGCGGTACTTTCAGCAGTGCGTCTGCAAAGGTTCGGAGTTCGCTTTTTTGCTTCTTGCTGCGTGTTTGGGTCCTCTGAGGGCGTTTATCAACGTATGGGTTGCGGAGGCTCCCAAACATTCGCCCAACTCTTCGAAACCCCAAGTCACCAAACAGGTAAACTTATCCCCAGAATTCCGCAAAGTTTCACAGACCGGAAGACCCTGAACCCTCCACGAAACCTCTTCCCGCGCCGCCTGCGGCCGCAACTTTTCCTGCATTTCTTTAGCCGTCCTTAGTGTCAATGTCAGGCTTTGACGCGTTTGCCCCTGATCCGAGTTCGAATGTGTGAGGGCGAACAGATTAGTCATTACATCTCATCACTGTCCCTATCGAGGTTTAGCTGTAGTACTAGGATGGCGTCTATGGGTAGTATTACCTTCATGATCACCGCCACTATTATGTGCCGCTTTTCTCTGGTGGACTGAAAGGAGTCTGAAGCTTTGTGGTTAGAGTGTTGTTTTCCGTCCACCAGTCATGTTTGTCAATCCTTCCTTCCTTCCTTCCTCCCTTCCTTGCAATATCTCCTGCATGGACGCACCCGCGCAAGCATGCATGCATACATACATACATACATACCTATCACAGATATGCCTACCCACACCGGTAGTAACATCTCACCTCGCCAAACAAACCATCTTGCGATGAAGACCCCACCCTTTGAAGAGGCCGTTGACGATGTGGTCGGCAAGCTGACAGCAACTGCAGGCGAGGTTTTCCCGTTTCGAATACCTGGTCTCACTGGCATCGACAACCTCGGCGACCTGTAAGCTCTCTCTCTCTATCTCTCTCTCTCTCTCTCGATCTCTCTCTATCTCTCTCTCTCTCTCTCTCTCTCTCTCTGGTGCATCGCTGGGCGATGTGTTTTGTCGCTCAGAGACCCTGAGAGAGCTGGAACGTTTATCCCCAAATCACCAACCCTGAAACCCTAACGAGCTCGAGGTTGTAGGGCGGGTGCCGGGGGGGGGGGTTGCGAGATATCATCTTCGGGAAAATGTCAAACCGTGGAATGTCCGGGTCCGGTCGAGGCCAAAGGTTCATCTTCAAAGTCCAACACACTAAACGAACAAATAGTGACCCCTAAGCCCGGCCCCAACCCTCAAAACCGCCCTTTAAACGCTAAGTAGACCCCAATCCATGAACCCAAAACTCTAAACCCCTCAAGAAAAGCGAAGTCACCGCGAGGCGACGGCACCGTAGCGGCAGCGACCGATGTGACGGAGTGCGTCATCGTCGCCGATCCGGACTCGCATGGGGATCTTGGGGCTCGAGTTTCGCTTTGAGTTTAGACCCTAAGTGACCCTAAGGCTCCAAAGTCGTTCTTTTTTGGGGTTCATATATAGAATCCTATAAGGTAATCCCAAAAAGGAACTACCATGGAGCCTCTGGGTAGACCCTAAACCCTAAACCTGCCCTATGTGGAGCCTTGCCTGCTTTGTGCGAGAGTGAGCGTCGAAACCTGCCAGCTTAGCTCAGGGATCCTCGTTTAGACCTGTTCGGGTTTCGCCAGGAACTGCGCATGTCCATAGTAGCTGAGTGGCTGAGTGGATACACCTTACACTTTTTGGGATAATATTACCCACTATACAACTGAAAGTGTACACTTTTCGGGGGCTTGTGAACTCAGCAACTAAGGTTAGGGTTAGGAGCAAGTGGCCGTGGTCTGGCTAGACCTGAGTCCAGTAACGATAAAGGGTGAAGAGCTGAGGGTTTGCAGGGTTTAGGGTTAAAGCAACCCTTGAAGGAACCCCCTTAAAGGAGCCCTAAACCCTAAACCCTTAAAGGAACCCTCAACCCTTGCGGGATCCAGGAGTCCCGTCTGTAATGGGGTGCATAAGCGCTCTTGGTGTTTGGACACAAACTTCTTCGGTCCTCTTGATGAAAGAGCTCTGAACTCGCCTGAAGCCGGAAGCTACAGCAGAGGCGCCTAAACAAACGAACCAGCGAGCTGATGCCCCCTAAACCGTACGCTAAACCCTCTAAGCCTACTGGGAGGGTCGGGGGACTTAGTAACTGGTTATTTTCGGGACTTATAAGTACCATAACCCCAATTAGGGTCCCTTTTCGGGTACTTATAAGTCTACTTACTACCTACTTACTAAGTCCCCCGACCCTCCAAGTAGACCCTAAACCCTTGAACCCCAAACCCTTAAACCCTATAAGCCTCCTACACTTTAAACCCGTATACGCCCCGGCTGGCTGGAGCGAGTGCTGGGAGCGAAAATCTGCAACCCAGAAGTCCGGACAATTCTAAGAGAAGCTCCACCTTGACCCTGAAGAACCTACCTTTTTAGGGTTCCTTAACATGATATGAAACCTTAGAAAGGTAGGTATTTGGGGTCCAGGCAGAGCATAAACTTATAAGTTATAAGAACAGTTACAGAACCCCCGCCCCCAATCCCTCATCACAGCGCAAGTAAATCCCAAAAGCAGGACAACATGGAAGCCATGGCAACGGCCTATGTCCTTTTCGAAATGCTCAGCCCGCTCATGATCAAGGACCTTGGAGTTCGGGGTAATGTAGGGACGTCGAAACATGGGAGTTTCCCGAAAATTTGGGGTACCTTATTATTTTGAGGCCCTTATAATAAGGGTCCTACTATTTTGGGTACTATATTAGGGTCCCCCTATTTTCGGAAACTCAGTCGTATTTACCACCCTCATGTGCGGCATGTGGCTAGCAATCATCGTGCTTCGATGTTGACCTGCCGCAGATCCGAAGTTGCGCAACGAACCCTAAGCCATAGCGGGGCCCTAGCACCCTAGGGCTGATAGGGTATAATCCAGTGAGCCGGTGCTCCTCCGTGTACTGCTCGGGCCGGAGTCGTGCAGAAGAGGTCGGGGGGCTTCAATAATTACCAATACTAGTTATTTTGGGGGTTCCTTAATACAATTATAGTATAATGGGACCCAAAACCCTATTCTTATTACTCGTATCAAGACTCCTATACTGATTAAGCCGAGGGCAATTGGCTTTGTCAGGGCTCGTGGGTCACGGACGTGCTCGGCGACGGGTGTATGCCAGCTCCGGCAGCCTCTCTCATTCCCTGATCCCAAAACCACATTGGTCTCTAAGATAGTTGTTCGTACTTGGGGTGAAGGGGGTCCAGTGGGGGTCGGGGTGGGGGTGGGAGGCATGAGGACGCACATGTAACATGAGACCCATGATTGCTCGAACCATAGAATCGTCACCTGTTGAATACATTGCATGCATCTGCAAAACCGAAACCCTTCAGATCGTCACCCTGATTCTGCAAATCCTCCAAAACCCTCAAAATCTAATCTCGTGCATGCTCGACCTTGAAGCCCGAAAACGCAGTGCCACGAAAACGTGGCGTCAGATACGCCTTCCGAGCGTACTACTACCGCGGCTACTACTACTACTACTACTACTACTACTACTACTACTACTACGGCTACCACTACTACTACTACGGCTACCACTACTACTACTACTACTACTACCACTACTACCACTACTACCACTACTACCACTACTACCACTACTACCACTACTACTACCACTACTACCACTACTACTACTACTACTACTACTACTACTACTACTACTACTACTACTACTACTACTACTACTACTACTACTACTTACTACTACTCTTCTTCCGGTCGCTGCGAAAAGAGTCTCTCGCTCGGCGGTCCAGTATTGAGGCGAGGGCTGCCCCCCGGCGCATTGCGCGATCCGTCCCTTGGGATCCCATCTGCATGCCCCGACCCGAAGGTCCTTGTAAGCAGGCATGCAGGCACTCACAAGCGAAACTGAAAGTTGGGCCGACTATGTATCGAGTGGATCTAGGACTGTACAAATACGCACGTTACACAGTGGCAGGGCATTAACAACAGTGGGCCAACTTACGAGGCTAGGTACGTCAGGCTGTGCACCGAAGGTACAAGAACACATATGTGTTACTGTATGTTGCAGCAAGCGCGGCACTCTCACATCGCTGCGCAGAGCGGTTATCATCCGTTATGAGTATGCCTGTGTCATGCGGCTGGTACAGCAGGCTGCGGTAGTGACCTTCAGTGCATCGGCTGCCGTAGTGCAACAGCGCCGCGATGCGGCGGTAGGTGACAAAACGCTGTTCCAGTGCTTGCCCAGTGCCCAGACTACCGGTGAAAGCAGGCAGGACGATAAGCGGTTCAGGTGCTACTCTGTGAGGTGCTTTCGTGGGGGAGGCATGGCTGGGGCTATCACTACAGAAGCGGTTAATCTGTAGACACAGCACTGTCGGAGCGGTCACAAGGCCCAGCAGTCCAGCCTGATGATGCCATTTGTCAATTAGAACCTGCAACCCGAAAACCGGATTATGGGGATTACTGGTGTGAGGCAGGGCAGGATCATGAGGCTGGACGCGGAGCAGGTGCAGAGGCTCAGCCAGGAACAGTGGCCACGTGTGGCCTGCGTCCACACACGTCACTGGCGCAATGTCATCGGGCCTTCTGTTCTCCCAATCCCCTTGAGCTAGTGTGCCTAGTCTGGACCTAAGAAACCCAAGGTATTCCGCTATGTCATGCTGCCTATGAGGTTGCGGCCAGCGGCTGTGCAGCGAAACCCAGTTGATGCGCTTCCACAGAAGCACAGGCATGGTCTGCTTGCGAAGCCATGCCCAGATCCCTGCAAGCACGGATCCCAACAGCTCACTGCAGCTCGGACCTGGGAGAAAAGTGGAGACCCAGAGCAGTGCAAGCAAGGCAGCATGACTGTAGCAGTGATTGCTGGTGTTGATTAGGCGTAGGGCCCGGACTGCTCGGCGATCAGCTTCTGGATCAGCACGGCCAGAGGGCTCCGACCCATTTTCTCTCCACGCATGCTCATGATGACTGTGCGGCAAAGGCCGCTGTGGCAGATGCGATGAACATGCCCAGTTGGAGCATCATGGGCAAGATCTGGCCGCCATGGTCCCGGACCATTTTCCGGGTTGAGTGGAAGCGGAGCACCGTGTGGGGCAGCAGGATCAGTGCCTGGAGCTCTTGCAGAAGCTTGGCCGCCTGGTCGAGGGTCATGGGCTCCTTGTCCGTTCGGACCTTCAGGCACTGATCTTTCTTGTCCCAGCCGAGGTAGGGCACATTGTTCTGGGAATCCAGGATCATCATGTCCCTGGCCTCCTGGAGCGTCTGCTCCGTCTTGGTGCACTCTGCCAGGCGCTGGGTCATGACTGTGAGGAGGTGCTGCAGCAGCACCGCCCTCAAAGGAAGCGTGATCTCCTCCGGCTTGTCGGTCTTGGTCTGCTTCCAGACTTCCGAAACCTTCACCAACTCCGGCACCATGCTGAGAACTCCCTGGGTCTGGAGAAAGAGGATGAATCCGCTCTCCGTGCGATCGATGGAGAACTGGTCCTCGTGGCGCAACGCCAGCCGAGCCAGCGCCACACACAGTTCCCGAAGCTCGCGGTCTGAGAACTTCGGAGTCGGTGGCTTCCAGGCTCCCGTGTCCTGCCGGCCGCTGCGTTCGTCCCGGCTCCAGGTCTTCCACTGGCTGCCGCGACTGCCCCAGCTCTGCGTGGTCTCCTTGTGGTGACGGCCGTGGCTCCGATCTCCTCGCCCATCGCCAGAGGGTGGCGGGCGTCCGAGCCGCGACCCTTGCTTTGGCCTCGGGGGTACTTGTTTTCCCCGCCCTTGCCCCGGTGCTCCTCGTCCCGTCGGTCCCCGCGCTTGCCTTCCCGAGAGGAAGTGTCCATGTGCTCCGGCTTGTTCTGGGGAGGTGGCTCGTCGCGAAGGGAGTCGAGCTGTGGCTCCTCGTCCTCCGTCTCCAGGAGATTCTCTCCGTCCGGTAGCGGGATGGCAGAGGGAGTCGGAGCACGTGTTGTCGTGCCGCTGCTGCCCTGTCCCGCTTGGCTCGCGGTCGCCATCATTGCAAGCATGCCCGGCTGCGTGTCGAGCATGCTCCTCATCAGCCAGATCTGGCTGTCCGCTGCCACCAGCTCCTTGTTCTGCTGGTCCGTCAGGGTGAGCTCCTCGGCCATGGTGCGGAGCCTGGCAGTGGACAAGCTGAGTAAGCAGGCCCGTGCGATACAGCGTAATGCAGGATTTGGCATGCTTGATGCGACTGACGTGTTGCACCTTGAAGTCAACAGCACAGTGGGCGCAGGGACTGCTTAGGGCCGTGTGCCTGTCCTCGAGCCAGCTGTTCAGAGCTTGCTGGACTGTCAAGAGACAACTGTGCTGCGCCTGAATATGCCGGCTAAGGTAGGTGGGCCGTGCAAGCCACTGTCCACAAAACAAGCAGTAATTCTGATCTGTCTGCCGGATTTTGCGAGAGAGAAGTCGCCAGTCTCCTTCACGGGCAGCGGCTAGGAGCTCTCCAGGCACATTACTGAGGAGGCGCTGCAATTCCGAGGCATCCGTGGCAGGTGTTTCTAAGGGTACATGTTGAGCAGCTGGCTGTGGCTCCAAAAATGCCTCAGAGTAACCCCCCTCTCCCGGGCCGGGAGAGGGGGGTTGTATGGGCCCGAAACAGACACCTGGGCATTGCTAGGGCACGTTTCAGGGAGATCTTCGGCTTGTGGCTGTTTCTCGGGTAGCCTAGGGGGCAGGGTCGAACTGTCAGGTTGCAGGGTAGGGTCGGTGATGCAGCTCTCGGTCGTAAGGTACTGTACAGAAGGAGAACCGTCGAGTTCTCTGCCTGCTGTGCTCGAAGAAAGGCTCGCAGGTGCAGTGGGCAGCACACGCAAAGGCTCGGAAAGTTCTGGAGCTGGGCCATTGGCCGGCTTGTGTAGTACACTACAGCGCTGCTTTTCAGCGCTGCTTTTCAAAGTGTTGCAAGAACCACGGCCATGCGCTGAACTCCCAGTGACAGAAACGACACGTTGGCATGCCATGCAATGCGTACTGCATGTAATCCTGTCTGAGGCTCTGTTGGCTACGTCGGGGTACAGTAACGGTAGGGCCAGGCTGCAGAGGCAGGGTTAGGTCAGTAGCAGGCTGGGGTGGCTCAGGTTTATGTTTCTGGGTGCGATGCTTACGCATACTGGTGACTGTGTCAAAATACAGGCCGCAGTCAGGGCATGCCACCGGTTGCACATCTTCCGTGACAGGTCGAAGTGTGGCACCTTCGGCGCCAATGCGCGGGCGCGGCCGCTGACAATCCGTAACAAAGCTCTGCAGGTTTGACAGTCGGCGTTGGGTGGAGGCTGTGAGTAGACCTAGCTTGGGCTCCTGCAGGCACTGCGTTAGCCTATGCTGCGTACGCTCAAACAGAATTTGCAAAGGTTCAGGGAGCTCCAGCCTGTGCAGCAGGGCTTCGGGCGCTTCTCTAGTGATGAAGGAGGGTGCTTTATCTAATGTACGTAGTTGACGTAGGACATGCTTACGCAAGCGGGCTTGGTCAGTGGGGTCTAGCTGCACACAGTCCAGGCCGTGCAACAAACTGGCGAAAGGACAAGCCTTCCAGATGCGCAGTTTTTGCGCGCGCGTGAGCCCGCCAGAGCGGAGAGAAGGAAGGAGGCGATTGAAGGCAGTCCAGCTTTGCCGTATTCTACCCAGGAGGGTCTGGTGCTCGAAACGATCGTAGGACAGCTGAACTCCAAGATAAGTGTGTTGCGTCACAATTGGCAAGCGGACCTCCCCCGTCTCCATGGGCACTCGAAACACACGCCCCTTGTGCGGGTCATGCACGACAAACTGTCGCAGCAAGTTGCGTACCTGCTTGCCCCGCAATCCTAAGAGTACTACGGTTTTCTCCACACTGATTTTCATCCCGAATTCCTGCAGAACCTGAAACACGTAACTGATGGCACGCCTAGCTGCAAGTAGTTGATCTTGTGTGTTAATGATCCATTGGATGAGCAGGTCATCTGCATATGCGGTGATACAGCTCAAGGGAATATGAACCGATAGTTTGCGTAGGATCAAGCAAGTGAACAGCGTCCACAGTGACGGTGCCAGGCCACATCCTTGACGCACCCCATTAGAGGTGCCAATGCTTTCAACATGCTCGCCGTGGCGAAACTGCATGCGTGCTCGGTCATGTATGTTCATGATGGTCCAAGCTGTGGCACTGTCAATGTTGGCCTGTTCAAGCGCATCTTGCAACTTAGCACGCGGCATCAGATCAAATGCCTTCTGTAAATCAAGGGATAAGGTCAGGCCACCTCGGCACCCCTCGGGCTGGTGGCCCTGTCTGCGCAAATGTATGGTTTGCTGTTGCGTACGCATGATAGCTCTAACAGCACTACAGTGTGTGAAGGCGCGGTCAACTGCGTCTGCGACGCCTCGGTTAGCCGAGTAGGCAAACTGCGGCAGCGAGCCGAGAGCGAGCTGAAGTTGTGGCTGTATTCTGTGATTGAGAATAGCTGCCAGTGCTTTGGCAAGAGGTGGAAGGAGCGATATGGGCCTGAGGGACTCTGGTCCAATAAGCGGCTTGGAGGGTTTGGGGATAAGACAGATTTCAGCCACATTCAGATTCTCAGGCGGGTCGCTTCGCATATCGCAAAGCCAGGAGTTGAGTAGGGGCAGGCACTTGCCAGCCAGAACTTCAGCCGCCTCTCGCCACAACAAGGCCGGAGCTTCGGCCTTCGGAAGTGCCTTGTTGGCCGGTAGTCTCGCGATGGCATTCTTCAGTTCACAGTGTGTGATTTGAAGCGGAATGGGCGGGGGCAAACCTAGAGTCGGGGAATGGCACTGATTGAAGAGCTCCAGGTAATATGTTTTGACTGTGGTTATGGTTCCAAGAGAGCTAAGGGGCATGCCATCCTGGGCCCGAAGCTGCAACTTGCGTCGTGGCGCCTTCGGTGCAAGGCCGCGCAGGAGCTGAAAAACTCCCGTCAGCCCGTCACGGGCAGCCGCAGCGTCTGCAAGGAGTCTGGCAAGGCGTTCTTGCTTGAGTCTACGGCAATGTCGGTGCAGCTCTCGTTGCTTACGATTCAGGAGCATCACGTTGCGCCAGTGCCGCCAGACTCCAGCAGCAGTGGTCAAGCTGGATAGTGTTGTGCCACGTACTCGCCGACGCAGCGTCCAGAGGCTTTCTAGCGGAATGGCAAGTGCGTCCGAGCCAGGATCGCGGGGGGCTAGGGCATGCGGGGACTTCTGGGCTACTGCATAGTGCCAGGCTTTGGTTAGCAATTCAGCTGTGCGCAGCTGCGGTTGCGCAGCGTGTACCAACGTGACCTGTGCAGAAAACTCAGGCAGAAGCGCCGGCTCGCGCAGGCATGTATCCCGAACTCGACGCAACGTCAGCACCGGCTTTGTGACGCTACCTCTGGGGGCTCTGGGGTAGGGAAGACTGCCTAGAAGGGGTCTATGTCTTAAACCTTGGGTTGGGACAAAGGGAAGATCTACAGGCTGAGCGTGCCGGGCTTGCGTGTCCGAGTGGGCATGCCGGGCAATAGCAAAGTCTATCTGACTATTTCCCTGGGTGCCGGATCCAGCGGAAAGGAATGTGCAAGCGCCAGGCCCACGCTTGCGCCATGTGTTGAGTGCAATCAGTTGGTGCTGCTTAAGCAGCTCCTGCAGAAAATCAGCGTCCGAGGCGTGTTGTGCCTGCCTAGGATATACCCCTCTGCCTACATGGATGCCATCTGTGTGCAGATCACTGTTCATGTCAGCCAGGATTAAGACTTGATTGCGCCTAGGGATTGAGTGAAGCACTTTAGCTAGCTGCGTCCAGAACTCGGCACGTCGCTCTAAGAGGTGTTCTCGCTGTTGGTGCCTGGCTTGTCGATTCCCTAGGGACCACGCGAATTGGTAGCCTACCACGACCTCAATGCAAGGGTCAGCCTCCAACCTGATATGCAGGAGTCGGCCCGGGATAAGTTCTCTGTGCTGGATTTTGGCTTCAGGGAAGGAATGCTTGTTTAGCAGCACCAGGAGCCCGGCTTCAGACTTAGAGCCTCCACTATGTATAGCATGATGCTGTGCAGTAGTGTACTCTAGAGGACCTTTCCAGTGTGTTTCCTGGACAGCTATCAGGTCTAGCTGGGGCTGGCCCGGCGACTGGAGCCAGTGCTTCAGCTCTTGGTGCCGGGAGGCATGCAATCCGCCGGCATTCCACGACAAGTAGTGAAATCTGGCAGTAGGGCACTTAGGGACCTGAGGGGTTCGGGGCGGTCTGGGGGTGTGTTGCACTCCTAGTTCAGCTGCCGACAGCCAGCGGCCTCTGTATCGTGTGGCTCCGTGAATTCGTGCTCGTTGCTGCGCTCGAGCAAAGGCGCGCTTGCGCACCGGGCATGCATTATTAACTGGACTTACACCGATGGGGTTCGTTCTTAAAATGGGCACGGAATTGCTGGGTATGCTAACTCCAGAGGGTTCCAGGTGTGGATGGCCCTCAACCCTCGTGTCTGCAGGAGACGGCATAGCTCTGATGACTTGCGGGAATAAAGCACAAAGGAAAAGACCCCAAATAACCTTATGCTTATGAACGGTGGTAGCCATACTCCTGCCCTCGGACTTGGGACCGAGGCGGCCTCGAGATTTAGGGGCCTGGGGTCGGGGTGCTTGCGTTGCCAGCGCGAGAAAAAGCAATCTACAAAGCCAGCTGTACAGCAAGTTAAGAAGTCTCAGCAGCAAGTTCAGTACAGGTCGCTGTCTGAGAAGTCCTGGCGAACCTCGGCGTCGGCGGTGTCGGCGTCGTCGTGGGGCCAGCATGCTGAGCTTGAGCTTGCTCCGGCGTAGGTGCCGGCCATAGTCACGAGCCAGCGGCAGGCTGAGAGCTCGAGCTGCTGGCCGCAGGGTGCGGCGCAGCATTGTCATCGTCGTCCTTGGGTGTCTCCAAGCCTGGCCGACCTGGAAGCTTCGAGGGCGGCAGCGGCACCAATCGGCCAGGGTTGCCATGATACCATTGCTGGAAGTCGTGCTGCTGGTCAGCGTTGAGCAAAGGCCAGAGAAGGGCCACACTGCGTTGGTACAGGCTGTACCCCGCCACAGTCTGCAGCTCCGCCACCAGGTGTTGGGCGCAAGCAGGCTCCATGTGCTCGCTGAGGTTCCGGAAGGCGAAGCGAACCAGGATCTGGAAGACCTGTGCCCGGGGAGGGCAACCTTGTTGTCCTGTCTGGTAGAGCCATTCCACATCATTGCGTGGCAAAGCCTGGGACAGCACGTTCTCCATGAGGTAGAAGGCGGCGTGTAGGCGTTGGTGCCGGTCCTCGCAGAGCTGGGGTTGCACAAAAGCCAGGGCCTGGTAGGGGTCCATTGCAAACAGCTTGCGTCGCTGAGCAGCGAGGGAAGAGCTGGCGCTGCGTCGATTGCAGTTGTTCTCTCGCGTACTTTGCTCCAGGTACAACCAGCAAGCCTCTTGCATGGCTCTGGCACGAAACTGTTCGGCAAAGGAGCTGTGTTCCGCCGTGATTCTGGCCAGTCGGGAGTCAGGGGACTCAGGTCGGACCGGTCGAGCGTCAGTATAAGAACTGCTTGTAGCAGATGATACATCATCGCCGGTGGAGCCTGCGTCCGAGCTCTCCTGGGCAATTGATCGTGGCATCCTCCGGCCCGCAGGCCCAATAAGCAAGGATGCTCCCTGAGAGGCAGTCAGCAGCGCCGAGGTCGAACAGCCGGAGTGCAGTAATGGCAAAGCAGCAGGTCGTGGGGCCCACAAAAGGGGAAAACTTCAGTTCGGGCCGAGACACTTACTATTACTACTACTACTACTACTACTACTACTACTACTACTACTACTACTACTACTACTACTACTACTACTGCTACTGCTACCGCTACTTTTTGAGGCCACATGGCCTTGCCCTTGTTTGGCAGCCAACCGCCAATTCCTAAGTTTGGCTCGCAGCCCCCATAAGGTAGGAGCAAAGAAGTGGAAACATCATTATGATCCTGCTCTTGGGGTAAAGCAAACGAGATCTCAGCACAAACCATCTTCAATGCAAGTTTTCAAACTTTGTTTCACAATTTCACAGTCCAGGGCTTTACGGTTTTGTGGTTCATGGTTAAGTTTAGGGTTTATCATTCGAGTCCCTTCCGTTCTGCGCACATGCTGCGCATTCAGACAGTGTCAGGTGAAGGACTCGTTATTCTTGACTTGGCGAGCTTTCACGAGACGCTTCCTGCAGACGCGTGTCCAGTTCGGGCATTGAAGCAGCACCTGAACAGCACATGCGGGCTGTCAAGGTTCAGGCAAAGGCTGGTGTCTTTGGGTGATGGTGCGGTTCTAGATGACGATCACTCACTGAGAACCGGGGAAGTTCAGGTCGTACGTTTAAACTTCTGCCCAGCATCAAACGAGCAAGTGACAGCGCTTCGGGATGCTGCCAGAAGCGGCCTGACCTCAGAAGTGGAGAATCTTCTCCAAAGGCCGCAGGATCCAGACTCAGAGCATATTGGCCATCCAACCCCACTGTTTGTGGCAGCCCAGCACGGCCACCTCGAGGTGACACGCCTGTTGCTAGAAGCCAATGCGGACAAGGACAAGGCCTCGGAAGATGGCACCACCCCTTTGTACATCGCAGCTACCAATGGACAGTTGGAGGTTGTGCGGCTTCTGCTGGAGGACAATGCGGACAAAGACAAGACAAAACATACTGGCGCCACCCCTTTGTTGGTCGCAGCTGAGAATGGACAATTGGAGGTTGTACGGCTTCTGCTGGAGGCCAATGCGGAGAAGGACAAGGCCATGGTAGATGGCACCACCCCTTTGTACATCGCAGCTCAGCATGGACAGTTCGAGGTTGTACGGCTTCTGCTGGAGGCCAATGCGGACAAGGACAGGGCCGTGGAAGACGGCGCCACCCCTTTGTTGATCGCAGCTGAGAAGGGACAGTTGGAGGTTGTACGGCTTCTGCTGGAGGACAATGCGGACAAGGACAAGGCCTTGGAAGATGGCGCCACCCCTTTGTTCGTCGCAGCTGAGCATGAACAGTTGGAGGCTGTACGTCTTCTGCTGGAGGCCAGTGCGGACAAGGACAAGGCCTTGGTAGATGGCACCACCCCTTTGTACATCGCAGCTCAGGGTGGACAGTTGGAGGTTGTGCGGCTTCTGCTGGAGGCCAATGCGGACAAAGACAAGGCCTCGGAAGATGGCGCCTTCCCTTTGTACATCGCATCTCAGAATGGACAGTTGGAGGTTGTACGGCTTCTGCTAGAGGCGAATGCGGACAAGGACAAGGCCTTGGTAGATGGCGCCACCCCTTTGTACATCGCAGCTCAGAAAGGACTGTTGGAGGTTGTGCGGCTTCTGCTGGAGGACAATGCGGACAAGGACAAGGCCTCGGAAGATGGCACCACCCCTTTGTACATCGCAGCTACCAATGGACAGTTGGAGGTTGTGCGGCTTCTGCTGGAGGACAATGCGGACAAAGACAAGACAAAACATACTGGCGCCACCCCTTTGTTGGTCGCAGCTGAGAATGGACAATTGGAGGTTGTACGGCTTCTGCTGGAGGCCAATGCGGAGAAGGACAAGGCCATGGTAGATGGCACCACCCCTTTGTACATCGCAGCTCAGCATGGACAGTTCGAGGTTGTACGGCTTCTGCTGGAGGCCAATGCGGACAAGGACAGGGCCGTGGAAGACGGCGCCACCCCTTTGTTGATCGCAGCTGAGAAGGGACAGTTGGAGGTTGTACGGCTTCTGCTGGAGGACAATGCGGACAAGGACAAGGCCTTGGAAGATGGCGCCACCCCTTTGTTCGTCGCAGCTGAGCATGGACAGTTGGAGGCTGTACGTCTTCTGATGGAGGCCAAGGCGGACAAGGACAAGGCCTTGGTAGATGGCACCACCCCTTTGTACATCGCAGCTCAGGGTGGACAGTTGGAGGTTGTGCGGCTTCTGCTGGAGGCCAATGCGGACAAAGACAAGGCCTCGGAAGATGGCGCCTTCCCTTTGTACATCGCATCTCAGAATGGACAGTTGGAGGTTGTACGGCTTCTGCTAGAGGCGAATGCGGACAAGGACAAGGCCTTGGTAGATGGCGCCACCCCTTTGTACATCGCAGCTCAGAAAGGACTGTTGGAGGTTGTGCGGCTTCTGCTGGAGGCCAGTGCGGACAAGGACAAGGCCTTGGTAGATGGCACCACCCCCTTGTACATCGCAGCTCAGGATGGACAGTTGGAGGTTGTGCGGCTTCTGCTGCAGGCCAATGCGGACAAGGACAAGGCCGATGAGGATGGCACGACCCCCTTGTACATCGCATCTCAGGATGGACAGTTGGAGGTTGTGCGGCTTCTGCTGGAGGCCAGTGCGGACAAGGACAAGGCCTTGGTAGATGGCACCACCCCCTTGTACATCGCAGCTCAGGATGGACAGTTGGAGGTTGTGCGGCTTCTGCTGGAGGCCAATGCGGACAAGGACAAGGCCGATGAGGATGGCACGACCCCCTTGTACATCGCAGCTCAGGATGGACAGTTGGAGGTTGTACGGCTTCTGCTA